GCTTTTTAGTGGTTTTGAGAAAAACGATAATGTTTTATTTTTGAATAAAATATAAATTTAAATGTATCACAAAAAATTTGGAAAAAAATATCGATATTAGTATAAAATCTACTATTTAAAGTTCTGGTTTTTGTGTAATTTTTTTAATTCAATATTTTATTTATATTTAATAACAAAATAATTTATTTATCGTTGATAATATAATTTTTATAAAGATAATAATTAAGTATTTTGTTATAACTAATTATTATCCTAATTATATTTTAAATTTTTTATATTCAAAATGAGATGTCTATCTCATACTTGATTATGTTTATCTACAACAAATTCAAAAATAAAGTTTTAATAAGTTGTACTTATGCATAAAAAATTGTTTTTAAGAGTTTTTGTCAAATGCTCTATAATATAGTATAGACATAGGTTACATTTCTAATAAGAAAAATGATCGAAATACAATAAAATTTTCAAATATCATCATGTACACTGCACGATTGCTAATAAGTGTATAATATGTAACATGAACACAAACAAAATTAATGTTGAATCGGAAAAAAATGAATTATAATTGAAGACATAAAAAATAATTAAAGATAAAATAAACAAAAAGCTAGGGAAGTTCAAAAAATGAAATTTTTTGTGAAAATTTGAGACATCGCATTCATATTTTCACCAAATTATAAAGCTCAAATAAAATTATAATTAATCATAATCCAAATACTTGGTTCTATATTTATATCTACATTATGTTATAAAACATTTGACAAAAAATCTTAAAAACCACTTTTTATGCGTAAAATACTGTTTATTAATGCATATTACTTAATTAAAACTCAAGATTACAATTAAATTGTGCGTATGTACAACTTATTAAAGCTTCATATCTGAATTCGTGTAATTAACTGCAGATAAACATAATCAAATACAAGATAAATATCTTATTTTAAATATAAAAAATCTAAAATATAATTAGGATAATCATTGAATNTTTCATATCTCAATTCGTGTAACTAATTGCAGATAAACATAATCAAATACAAGATAAATATCTTATTTTAAATATAAAAAAACTAAAATATAATTAGGATAATCATTGAGTTCTGACAGAATACTTAATTATTATCTTTATAAAATATTATATTATTAAATTTAAAATTAAATTATAAAAAAATAAAGAAATTATATAAAAAATGAGAACTTTTAAATAGTTGATTTGATATTAACAAAATTATTTTGTTATTAAACTTAAATTAAATTATAAAAAAATAAAGAAATTACATAAAAAATGAGAACTTTTAAATAGTTGATTTGATATTAACATTGATATATTTTTTTAAAACTTTTATGATATCTTCAAATTTATATTTTATTCAAAAATAAAATCATTACTGCTTTCTTAAAAACACATAAAATCGTATTATAACATTGATAGAGACAAATAATAAAATAGAATATTAAAATCAAGATGTGTCTCGCTGCATTGCGCGAGTACTCTTCTAGTTATATTATAAAACATTTGACAAAAACTCTTAAAAACCATTTTTCATGTATTAAGTATTTTTTATTGATAGTACATATTAGTTAAAATTTAAGATTACAAGTAATTTTACGTAAGTACAACTTATTAAACCTCCATTTTTAAATTCGTGTAATTAAATGCAAATAAACATAATCAAATAAGGATAAACATCCATTTTTAAACATAAAGATCTAAAATATAATTAAGATAATCTTTGAGTTTTAATAGAATGTTTAACTATTACTTTTCAAAAAAAAATATCATTAAACCAAAAATAAATTACTTTGTTATTAAATATAAATTAAATTATAATAAATTAAATTGAATTAATAAAGTTAAAAAAAACAAGAACTATTAAATAATTAATTTAATATTAATATCGATTTTTTTCAAAAATTTATACTATATTCAAATTTATATTTCATTCAAAAATAAAAGCAGTATCATCTTCTAAAAAGTACATAAAATCGTATTATATCAACAGAGACAAAAAATAAAAAATAAACGTACAGTTTTTTAAAAGATAAAATTACTTACAGAAAAGATAATAAATTTGAAAAGATACATTCGAATATTGGTTCGATTTCATCATGATTATTAATAAATAACCAATTCAAATAGTTGTTACATTTATCCTATAAATCGTACACCGTCACATATATTTATTAAAAATAAAAAATAAAAATTAAAATGTTAAAGTTAAGTAGTAAAAAGAAAAAACTTCCTTCCATGAAAATCGGCGAGATATCGTATAAAAATATATTATCCAACGTATTAATCCTTATCCCCATGCTGAATCAAATCTCCCTCCATCTCTCTATAAATACCCTAAACTACCCTTCCCCTTCATCACCATCATCTCTCTCTCTCTCCCTCTGTGTTCCTCTCAGGAAAACACACATACACACACATACACGTTGTGCTGTGTGTTTTCTTAATTTCTCTCTCAATTCTTTTTCTCATTAAAAATCACCAACCAATTAACAATTCTTGATTTTTGTCATAAAACAACAGTGAAAAGGTATTATGGCGAGGGTCGTCAATAATTTAATGTGGGTGTTTCCACTTATAGTATGTTTGTTTCCATTGTTGAGTAACACCAATGGAGGAGGAGGAGTTATGGCTTTCCACAAGGTTTATTTGAACTATCAAACTTCCAGTGGCACCAATGATGTCAAACAAGTTTACCGAACTGGATATCATTTCCAGCCTAAACAAAACTGGATCAATGGTACGTCTTCTTCTTTATATTTTTCTCATACACGATAAACCCTAATTATTGATCGTAAAAACTAATTAATGGATCACAAAAAAAAACATCAAATTTATGTTTGAAATCCTCTTGCAAACATCTTGAAAATCAAATTGTGTGAGAATGTGAAGGCTGCGCCCATGGATCATTCTCTCTCTCTCTCTCTCTATATATATATATATATATGTCTGTGTGTGGGTAATTAATGTAGAAACATAATGATGGAGTAATTGGGTTTTCAGGATGATGATTGATTTGTGGTTTCTGTTTTATAGATTGATTGATTTATACATGCAATTTATATGATTGCAATTCAATTCAAGAGCATATACTTCATTTATTTATTAATGTTATGAAAAGGGTTTATAATATAAATATAAATTATGCTAATTATTGGTTGTAAGTTATATATACCCCCATATCTGTGTGTATTATATCTAGAAAAAAGAAGTCAATTGCATATTTTAGTTGTACGTCATAATGAAAGAAATAGCCTACCATATTTGAAATATTAATGATAATAATAAATAAAATATTAAGCTTAGACAGCCGATCATTTATGACATTAATTAATTTGTTGTGAATTTATATATATAATAATAAAATAATAGGTTTTATAAATATGTAATACGTATACATATATATGATTATTATAATTTTTTTAAAAAGAAAAAAAATTGATGGGTTTAGTTTATTTAACCAACCCTAGATCACATGCATGTGGTTGTAACATCTCACGAAATATATTCGAATTTCTTTAAACTACATGAATGAGTTCATTTGTTATTTTCTTTTTTAAGATATATATATATATATATATATATATATATATATATATATATATATATATAAATTTATATTTTTTCTATATTAAGTCTAGAATAACCTAATTTCATCATCATTAAGTTGCCCAATCTTGTCATCGTTTCAAGCAAAAGGTCAAAGTTAATATA